CAGCAACAAAAAAATGCAGAGTTTAAAAGTGCTATTTGAAAAACTCATAATTTCATTTCCCAAGCATTTTATAGAGCATGCTGTTTATAGATCTTATTAAATATAAGTGTGAGTCATATACTCCATTTGTTTGCCTTAAGAAGTCAACATTGGCAAGAATAGTTCAAGAATATAATAGAAATATTATTATTTAGTTATGCTTAAAAATATTCACCCCATTGTTTTATCTATTACTTTTCTCAAGCTGTTACCAAAATTAATTTGAATGCATTTATTTAGAGCCTGGCTAGACTTTGGGAAATACAAACTTTCATTGTTGTACAAGATGAAATGAAAAAAAAAAAAAAATGCAGAATTAATTAGTGTTGCTAGAAATAAAAGACTTTATTTAATTGCATTTCTTATAATGTCTATCAGTGTATCAAATTGCCCCAAGAACTGTTAAAACTGAAAAGAAAAAAAAAGGAATCCCATTTGACACCTAGTCAGCTTTGTTCTCAGGAGAATAAATAGAACCACAAGCCAACCATAAAACACATCAGAGGATCAAACAATTCCATTCTCTGCCCAAATAGAAATTAGGCTTTTTTTTTTTTTTTTTTTTTTTGCGACTGTATTGAGGATCACATCTAGCCTTACATATGCTGCATATGCTATGAAAATGAATCACCACTAAGCTACATCTTTGCCCTTTTTTATTTTTTGAGACAGTGTTTCAGTAAAGTACCCAGGCTGGGCTGGAATTGCAATCTTCCTTCACCATGTAACACATTAGTTAATTTTTGACAGTTGCCTAACTCACACATAAATGGACTTCCTGTGAAGAGCCAGATTAGTTTTTCTTAAATATAAACAGTATGACATGAAGTATATAAGAAAATGACTGTTTGGTCTGGACTTTCAAACTAGAGAAAGATAGAAGAAACTCTAGAACAGTTATCAAAGTTCAAAGTCAGTGTTTTCTTAGGGAAACTGATTATTTGTTGCTCACATGAAGGAATTTTTTTAATTCTCTTTTATGTAGATTTATTTGAACCACCACGCCGTCTCCCTGTGAAGAAAACTCGACAACAGCTTCAGCGAGAAAAAGCCTTACTAGAACAGAGCCAAAAACTTGGACTTCTAGAAGGCTCAGCCTCATTACCTCCAGACCAACGGCTTTCTGCCCCCAAACAGAGAGCCAGCACTCAGAAGCCACATTCATCTCCTACTTGGACCTGTGCTAGCCCTGCTGCACTCACCTCTCCTGTTGGTGATGGGGAACTCCCGGGTACTGAAAGTCAACCCAGGGAAGCAGGACTGGAGAATTCTCATAATGGGCATGAAAACTTGGAGGTCCTGCCTTCAAAGACAGCCTGCAATTTGGAGAAAAAGAAAGTGGAATTGTTAGTAAGTCTATTAAGACTTTTATTTTACCTTTTTACCCTTATTGGGCTTTAGGGAAATAGGGCTGGTTGGTTTGTTTTGTTTTATATTGAGGCCTAGAAGTGTGGTTCATAAACTACTGAAAGTAGTTCCACCTCCCTATAGTATATGCTAGGCAGTTCCAGGCATTTTATAGTTATGAATCATTTAGTCTTTACAACAGCCTTACAATACATGTTTTATTATTTTCACTTTATAGATGAGACAACTGGAACTCAGAAAGGACATCTTCTTTCTAAAGCTATAACACAGCTAGTAAGTAATAGAGTTGAGATTCACATTTAAATGTGTCTGCATCCAGAGTCTGTGGCCAATTATATCCACCAGAAACAGTTTTAATAGGCATAGTAGCACTCCCCAAATTGAATCCATTCTTTAGCTTCCAGCTGACATCCTTATTGGCCCAGAAAAGGATAATTATGGAGAAACATGACAGGCTAGTTAAAAGGAGGAGTGTGTAGGAAATGACTATTATACAATTCTGTTGCATCACTAGGTCTTCCTATCTTCTTTCCTTTCTTGCTTCCTTCCTGCACTAGGGATTGAATCCAGGGCCTTCTTACTGAGCTACATCTTCAACCACTTTTTAATTTTGAAAAAAGGTCTCCCTGGGCTCAGGCACCATGCCTAGCTTATTCGATGTGTTTATATCAGGAAGAAAACCATTAATTTCGCCATACTCATGTGAAAAATGTCATTCTTAAATTCATAAATTCTGAAATAGTATTTGTGGAGAAAAAATGACATTTGTTTATGTTTTTATTTTTGATTTTTTTGTTTCTTTTTTTCTAATCTCAGATATACTTCTCATCTTTGGTGATCTGGATTTTGTACTGTGAGTTTAAAATGTTTCCTGTACCCCAGGGGTTTGTGACTAAGGATTCATTTAGACAAGAAATACAGTTCTACGTGAATTATGAAACCTATGTTGAAAGAGTGAATTTATGTATCTCTAAATGGAGTTTACCAATAAGAGCCTGAGACCAGTGGAAACTGAGATAAATTGAGCTGAGCTGGACAATTTAGGGAAAAATTATTTTTTTAAGTACTTAGGAGAGTATTCATGGAAAGCAATATGAAGGACTTTGAAAAAAAGGAGAAATTCTGAGGTTATCATTAGGGAAAAGGAAAGCTACATTCTACGGAATGTTCTCAGATGACCTCTGACTTCTCTGGGAGTGGCAAAGGTGGGCCAGAGAATGGCAAGAAGTCTTTAAAGATGTAGGGAAGTGAGTTCTCTTGAATTTATGAGCAAGGAATGGTTCGAAAAATGCCAGGTGTCAGTATTGGTAACCATCTGGGAGGGAGACCAGGTGAGGAGATGCCTCCAATGGTAAAATTGGGAAATGAGCAGTGCTGATGCCAAGGTAGAAACTATAGGAATTGAGGAAAAAGACAGTTTTAGAAGTGGTTAGTACAGACCTGAAATTGTGGCTGTGAGGAATGCCAGTAGTAATAAATAGCTTTGCTCTTAAGTTGACATTAAATTCATGGCTTTATGGTAAATTTTAATGCATTTGAACACAGTACATTTTTAAGATTTTTTTTTAGATGATTCCCTTTGACTTTTAGCTCATAATACTTTCTTCTGTTTAATAATTATATGTGAGAAATGCAAAAGAGTTAGTAGATGGAAAACATACAATATATAGAGTGAACATTGTAATTGTCTTAGGGATATTAAAATGATAAGGAGCTTTTTCTTATAGAAAATTGTTAAGCAGAGCTGAGCATGGTGCCTACAACCTCAGCCCTCAGGAAGGTAAGCAGGAGGATTGTGAGTTTCAGGCTAGCCTGGACTATGTAGAAGAAAGAGTCTCTGCCTTAAACAAACAAACAAACAAACTCTCTTTAAAAGGTATGACATAATATCAACTACAGACCAATTTATTTTAACCTCAGTTTTGCATATGATGCGTAATGAGCTTACACGTTTCCTCAAATACTCCTTAAAAACTGCCATAGTACTCTGGCATCCAGTTTGTGGGTTCCTAAGTTATGTACATAAAATTGATTTCAAAGGCTTATGTAAGCTTTTTTTACTTCAGATTATACTCTGTTCCTATTAGAACAGAATAATGAGCTGCAGATGGTTTCTTCTAAGAGAAAATATATGTAATTTGCCTGATTAGATTTTATACTTTGGAGATTGAGGCTCATAAGTTGTGAGATAGGATAGTGTCTTTTATAAGTTCATTTGTAAAACTTTTTTCCTCCACAGGCAAGAGAAATCTCATTGGCAAGTACTCCAGCAAGAACAACGACTAATGGAAGAGAAAAATAAACGTAAGAAAGCTCTTTTGGCAAAAGCTATTGCAGAAAGGTGAGGCACCGAAACCAGGAGAGGTTGTCTGTAACCAAGTCTATCTGTATATGTGTTTTTCCTTGGCCGTTCTAATGACCTGGTGTTTTCTTTATAGTTACTGCTGTGAACGCTAGCTAAACTGTGCTTCATAAGGGATACTGAAATTCCAGTTTTAATTTATTAAGAAGGCCTTTTAAAGCATAAATCATAATGACTTTATAAGTACATTACAATTAAACCTTGTGGACCAACATCATGGTTTTCAGTTGTAACCATCTATATTTTCATAAGGAAAGCAGTAATTAGCTATCAATATGTGAAAGTGAGTAACAGATACAGGTTTTATTCATTTTAATGTGGAAAGGCCTTAAATGATCTAACTTGTAGAGAAGTTACTCTGCAAGTGATTTACACTACCACAAACCTTAATTGTGTTATCCTGTGTGTAGTAATACAATATGTAACAATTTAACCTTATGTTGGTGACTCGGGCTGACCCTTCTTTGCCTTGTGTGAGGTTTGTTTTTTCTCACACGTCCCAGCGTTACTTTGTCAGTGATCCCTTGGTAAGTCACTACAGCAGTGGTGAAGAACAGTGTGAACTGACTGCAGATCTTTGCTGATGTTTTCCTTTTATACCTCTTGAAAAACCTTGTTTGAGGCTGAAGTATATATAGAGGCAGGGGAAGCTGTAAGAGTAAGGATATAGAGCAGTTCAGAATTTTTATCTGTCAGGGGGATGTGTATATTTGAAATGTTTTTTTCCCTCTACTACTGTAACTTCATCTTCCAGGAATGTGTGAGATACCCTTCTTACTATGCTTTAAAAAAAATGAATACTGATAAAAAAAAAGTGCCCTCTTATTTTCCTCCCACATCTGATAGTTTTGAAAAACATTTTATTAGTTTTCAATTTTGAGGAAGTATGGATGCTGTTTACTAGGGATTTTATAACAATTACAGGTTCAGTCCATCTTAGTACTACTGATTTAAGGCACATATGTAATAAAATGCAATATAATTGGATTTTTAATAACTGGATAATGAAGTGCTTAAACTAAGAGTTACTGGTCAGTGAACTGTTGTAGGCAGAAATGAAGGATCAATGCATAATGCAGTGGAATTAAGGAGAATGTAAGTTGCACAATAGTTTCATGTAGGATTTTTTTTTCACTTGAAAGTGAAATTTTGAAATGTGTGAAATCATGATTAAGGTTTTTTGTGTTTTTTTTTATGTGTATTATCAGGACAGGTGGTGAGGGGACTCACAAATGATGAAGTTAGATATGCTATTAAACTAGAAGAAAAAAGGATGTTTTGATTTTGAGGACCAGTATTTTTGCCAGTAGAACAATAATCAAAACAATGAAGGTATGGGGAAATGAGTCCTAAGAATGCTTGAAAATAAGCCAGGTGCATGCTTGTAATCCTAGTGCTCTGGAGGCTGAGATAGAAGGATCACAAGTTTAAGTTTAGCCTGAGCTGCTGAGTGACTTTAGTGAGACCCTGCCTTAAAATAAAAATTAAAGGATTAAAGTCCAACTTTTTACATTGTTATGAAAATATTCGGTACCAAGAAAAAATTTGGGAACTCACGGGAAAAACTACAATGCATGGTAGAGAATATACCAAACTATTGGTAGCATTTATTTTATTTAAACTCATTTTTTATAAAAAATATACTACAGTTTTATGTCTATGTAAATGTAGATATTTAGAGATAGATATCATGTCTTGCTTTTTTGCATATCATATATAAGTACATACTTTGCAAATGTTTATTTTTGCTTTTTTCCCCTCTTCATGTTCCTATCTTTCTAGATCTAAAAGAACTCAAGCAGAGACTATGAAACTAAAGCGGATCCAAAAGGAGTTACAGGCTTTAGATGACATGGTTTCAGCTGACATTGGAATCCTCAGGAACCGGATTGACCAGGCCAGCCTAGAGTATTCATATGCACGGTGAGCTGACAAAATTGAACCTTAACACAGGGAATTTGGTTTGATTAATGCTTATTACTAGATAGGCCGGTGGCTGTCATATAATCCTTTAAGTCTCATAACAACCATCTGTCTTGTACTAATTCCTGCATCTTCTCTCCTGTGAAGTCCTCCTTAAATCAACTTCATCAGTTAAAGTTAGGCTTGTTCATATGCCTGTTAGAGCATTTTCCTGTATTATTTATTGACATTTTAGTTTTACAGATAAGCTTTCAGCTGTTTAATGTTTGGGACTCATATTAATCTTTTGGGATCTAGTAAAGTAAATGTTTGAGTGATTTGTCGTAAAACTGTATTCTTCTAACACCAAGTCTTTTCATTAAAACTTAATTATTCAGTGTAGTCTTCATGGAATTGGAGTCTATCCAGTTCCCAATTTAATTTTCATCAAAATAAGATCTAATTATTTTTTAAGATTTGTAAATATTT